CGGGCCGACGGCGCGGGCCGCACTATCTGTCCGTCTGTCCTGGAGAGAACTATAAAGCGCTGGAAGCGCCTACAGATGGTTTTGCGCCGGCCTTTCTTTGGGTCTCTGGACGGTGGGAATGAATGGTGGAGTAGAAGTGAAACTGTCAGGGGTAGGGCAGGAGGGTGAGAAACAGATATCTAGAGGGGAAAGTGAAGTCCCTGAGAGCTGCAGCCTGCTACCTGCCCTCACTGGTTTTCATTTTAGAGTAAAGTGTGATAAGCTAAGGGTTGAGGCTGAATCCGCCTCCCCATCCTGACCTCCATCTTGTATGCCCCAGCTCCTTATTAATGCCCAGGCTACTTAAGGACAAATGGTAAGGACAGCAGAAGACACTCCCCTTCTATGAGGTGAACCTTGAGACAGAACTGGCTAGCCACAATAACTGTTTTTCCTTGGAGCAGGAGGCTAGCCAGGCCTGACTAAGCCCGTGCTTACCCCTCTCAGTTGGGAACTGAGTACCACCCCCATGTACCCAATCACTACGGAGTTACACTGAGACTGCTTTGGACACACGCCTACCCGGAGCAGTCTTTGGAGGCCTCAGACCTTGACCCCTGACCACCAGAAAAGTGCAGATATAGGCAGAAAGAAAAGGGAGACGAAAGCCATTTCGAATTGAAAGAAGGGAGGAAAAATAAGCCATTTGGCTACAAATCCCTGCTTAGCCTCCCCATTGCCTTCTTAGTTACACAGCGAAATAGCACATCTAGTGTTGCATCCGCTCAAGGAGGACTGACTACTGGTAGAACGTTTGCGGTTGCGAGTCTGGTCGGCACTGCGGCCGTGAAGATCCAGAAAGAGTTCCGGGAGGGGCCAGCAAAGAAAAGGCCTCCGGTTCGCTGTCCGTGGTGCTGAAGGGTGCGTTCGTGCAGGGTGGGGGCTTGCACTACCAGCAAGAGAAAGGGACTCGGCCTCAGCTACATCTTCTGAATAATTAAAGAGTGGGGTGTAAGCTATTCTGGGGGCAAGTTACAAAGTCTGGCCCGGGAACCCAACAATGTTGCCTCCCCTTTGCCCTCCTTGAGGGACCGGACTTGGCTTTCACCTGGCCTGTACCCATAGCCCTAGCACCCGGCCTGGAGGCGGAAATCCTGGGTCCAGATTTGTGAATCGAGTTCCCCGGGGGGAGGGGGAAAGCTAGCGGAAGGGAAGGCGGGAGCAGCCGCCTATTGGCTGGAATTTGGCGCAGTCAACGCGGTGCCGTCATCTCTCTGGATTTGGGAGGAGGGAAGGAGGATCACTTGGGTCACTGCGCGGCTGTCACTATGGCAACCAGACTGAGCGGGCAGGGCCACCTTTCTACTCTCCTACCTTAAGATAGGAAATATATCCTGTTTTTCTTAATTTGGAACTGATTACTGAGACTAGCTACTTGATTGGAATTTCAGATTTAGAGCAGCCTAAACGGGATGAGGAAGAGACCCAAGAGTGGATGAGGATCCTTAAAAAAATCTTGCCCTTGGGAAAATCAAGATACTGCCCCCAACTCATGGACACATGAGTTCTTTCTACTCACAAGGGCGCGCGCGTGCGCACACACGCACACGCCCTCTTGTGCCTCCTGGAACTTATGGTCTGTCACTAAAGAACTCATATGAGGAGGGGGAAAAATCATGAGTGAGTGGAGTCAACTTGCCTAGGTATGGCCCAGAGCCGGAGACACTGCCATAATCCGATTAGAGCTGGGGGTGGGGTTCTGGAAGATGATCAGCCGGACTGCAAGGAATAATTAGCCTTCTGGGTCACATTTGCTCAGAGTCTTGTTTTCTCTGGGTGGAGGGCAATAGAAAGAAGGACCCAGAATAATCTCTGAGAAGCCGAAAGGAGAAATGTGATCAAGAGAGAAAAAGTAAAGTGCCTTGTTTTTTGTGCCAGGTGCTGCGGTGGGGTGGGGGTGCGAACATGTTGGTGAAGAGGGTCTAGAACTCTCTGGAGAATCCAGAAGAGCCAGGGGTAGACTGACGGAAATGGAGGTTCGGAGACAGAGACCCAACTGGAGCCATGACTCAGCACTTCCCCTTGCAAAGGCCCAAAGCACAGGGCCTAGAAGTGTGGAGGGAGGGCCTTGGGAAAGCAAATAGGTGACTAACAAGAGACGCACCCCTTTGCACGATACATGCATCAATACACAGTCAAAGGCATATGCTTTAGCTCAAGCAGTCATGAATGCATTTATACTAATGAAGGTTCATCCAATTATATACGTATATGCGGTCTCCTCTTCTGTGTCCCCCTTAGTGGAGGGGGCATTCTATCCTGAGAGCCATGTTTGCCTGTCCTCAGAATACCTTAGTACTTATTGGAAAAGGAGAAATGTAAAAACCGCCCAGATATGCGAGGGTGGTTGTCATGGGAACTCCTTTGCCTGCCAGCCAGGGTGCCCAGCAACCAGAGCGTCTGGCAGTAAGTATCCAGGAGGCTATCCTATGGCTATCCACACACTGACACTCTGCCTCAGGTACCAGATGGGTACTTCTGGAAGGTAAAGTGACCCCTTCTTCAAGTACCCCTTTTAAAATGGTGTTCTGTCTCTCTCTACCCTTTAGGGCCCCACTATGCAGCCAGGTTGGCTGGGAACTCTGTGTAGACCAGGCTAGTCTGGAACTTGAGGCAATCCTGATGGTCTTGTCTTTGCTTTCTGAGTTACAGGCAGGTACCGCCACAAATGGCTTTGTGTCCCGTCCTGCAGGACGTCAACCTGGGGCAAGAGAGTCAGGGATAGGGAATGGGGACAAGAGATGCAGAAAGATCGACCACAAGACAGGATTCTGATCAAGTGGCACACTTTACTTTTATACTCAGGCTAGCTTATATAGTCGGCAGAGCAGGATATGGGGAGGGGTAGAATGGGTTGTTTGTGAGCCAGGTGTTAGTGTAGGCAGGATATTAGGAAGCCACAAAGAGGATGTTTGGCAGAGTAAGGAGTTTATGAGTAAGAGGTCCAGGAAGGGTTGCCTAGGTGACTGAGTCTGTGGGTGGAGGACTGGGTCAGGTTATTTCTTTTCTTGAGCTGAGGTTCTAAGGAGCTGCTATGTAAAGGTTAACTATGTGGTCTGCCAAGCATGGCCTAGGATCTCATGCCCAGCTCTGAGATTTGGCTCACAACATCTTTGAGTACTACTCTTCATTCCCTTGCTGTGAGTGCCCGTTAGGACAGTAAGCACACTTAACCACTGGCTCATCTTTTTCACTCCCCACCCAAAACTTATCTCTTGAGCAGTCAGCTGCTCTCAAGATCTCTTTCTGTTTGGCGATATGGCTCATGGTAATTATTGGCTTCTCTTAAAGTGCCATCTCATTTCTCAACACCCTGTAGTCAACTGCCTATGGTTAATGTTTAGTTTGAACATTTTTTAGCTTGAATATTTTTTAAAGGTTTATTATGTGTGCAGTGTTTTGCCTGCATGTTGCTCACAGGCCAGAAGAGGGCACCAGACCTCATTATAGATGGTTGTGAGCCTCCATATGCTTGCTGGGAATTGAACTCAGGTCCTTTGGAAGTGCAGTCAGTGCCCTTAACCTCTGAGCCATCTCTCCAGCCCAACCATAAATCTTAAAATTAGTCTCTCTTTATATTTTATATATGAAAACCTAAAAGTCAGTAAGAGTAATGATGAAAAATTAAATAGAGAAATAGATATCTCTTCCTGCATAGTATTCCACAGGGGCAGAACAGTATAGTGGCTTACAGCTATTTGGGAGGCTGAGGTTGGAAGATTCCTTGAGCCTCCAGGACCAGATCAGCCTGCATAACATAGTGAGACCCTCAGCTCAAAAACAATCAAGCGTATTCACAGATTATCCCAGAGAAACCACAGGATACCAAGGAAATACTAAAAGGAGTGAACCAAGTCAGCCATGGCCTGCCTGTGGTCTCAGTACCTCAGAGGCTATGGCAGGGCACTACCAGTTCCAGGGCAGCCTGTCAGGGATCAGGAGGAGGAGAGTATAGAGGGCTTATTAAAATATATGGCACTGGTACATGAGTAGACTGCACAGTAAAGGGGAAAGGACAGTCCAAAGCTAAACCATGTTTTACTGAGAATCTAGCATAGGGCAAAAGTACCATTTAGAACTCACTGGGAAAACCTAGGAGAGCCAATGAATGGTTTGTTTACAACTGGATAATCATTTAGATAAGGGGGGGAGGCCAATCTTCCTTATTCTTTTCCCTCAAAATACATCAAAATCTGATCAAATATTTAAAGAAAAAAAAATGCCATACAGCTTTAGATGAGGAGACAATAAAAAAAATCTCTAGTAATAATGTAAATACCCAGACTTTACACTCAGAAGTTCCAACCTGTAGAAATGGTGCTAGAGAGTCACTTGAAGAAATACAAAGACAAGACGGGGCTTTTTAATTTATTTAGTTATTTACTTTATTATGGCTTGGAAAGAGAAAAGTTGGACTTGATTTAAATATCCACCAATATTTACTCAGGGTTAAGTAAACTTTGATATGTCCCACTTACTGAATTTTACACCATTCAGTTTTTAAAAAAATGAGTTAGTTGGACATGGCTTACCCAACTGTGATTTCTTCACTTATGAAGCTGAGACAGGAGGACTAAGAGTTTGAGGTCGGCCTAAGCTGTCGAGCGAAACCATGTCTCAAAAAAACCAAAAATAAATAGGGACTGGAGTAATGGCTCATTAGTTAAAATCACTGGCTGCTCATCCAGAGAAATGGGATTGGATCCTCAGCACCCACGTAGTACCTCGAAAGTCTTGTGACTTCAGTCCCAGGAGCTCTGATGCCCTCTCCTGGCTACCAGGAACACTGCACGCACAGACATACATGCAGGCAAAACACCCATACATAAAATAACAAAATTAAAACAACAATAAATGATGTAAGTATTCTTTAGAGTTAGAAATGGTAATTAATAAATAATAAAGTAAAAACTTTTGTGTAGGCAGGCTGGGCTTGATAACATACATTTTTAATGCCAATACTCCAAAGGCAGATAAGATGGAACTCTGTGAGTTCAAGGCTGCATAGTTCCAGGTCAGCCAGGACTACACAGTGAGATGCTGTCTAAAAACAAAACAAAACAGAATAGCACAGAACTTGGTATGTAATAGGCTCCAAATAAATGAAAGCTGATATGTAACTTTTATCTGGATTGACTGTGATAAACACCAGTATATTGTATCTTTTCCCATTTACTTCCTTAGAGCAATTAATAAATGAACTTTAAAAAGTTGACAGCTGTTGGGCAGTGGTGGTGCACACCTTTAGTCCAAACACTCAGGAGGCAGAGGCAAGTAGATCTCTGAGTTCAAGGCCAGCCTGGTCTACAGAGTGAGTTCCAGGACAGCCAGGACTAGACAGAGAAACCTTGCCTTGAAAAACCAAACAAACAAAAAAAGTGACAGTCTTTGTGTTTTTTTCCCATTGTCAGTGTGTGACTAAATACATCTTTAGAATACAACTGTGGACCCATTCCCTGGTATTCAGATTTTTCTCTTTTTCTTATGCTATATTTGAGGTTTTTTTGTTTGATTGTTTTTTCAAGACACAGTTTTTCTATGTAGTCCTGGAACTCACCCTGTAGACCAGGCTGAGTCCTCCTGTCTCAGCTTTAATCCTGGGATTAAAGAAAGGCCTGGCTGAGCATTGATTTTTCTTTCTTTTTTTTTGCATTTAACTTTAAATTTTTTCTGGTACATTTATACTATCTCTGTTTAATTAATTGATCTATTTTGCAGGATTCTTATTAATTTTTATTTTATTTTATGTGTGTAAGTGTTTTGTCTGTAGTTATGTATGCTCACTATATGTGTGCAGTGCCCATAAAGACCAGAGGAGGGCACCAAATCCCCTAAAACTGGAGTTACGGATGGTTTAAACCACAATGTGGTATTGAGAACTGAACCCCG